TGATACATGTTTCCTAACCAAAATTTCACGTAAAACACGATGCGCACAACGAAAATTACCGAAATTAACTCTTTACGAAGATATTTAATGATTCTTGATGCGTGAATTGAAACCACCCGGTCATGAAAACTCAATGCTCTACGTGATTCACATCGCGCGCTTAACGTTATCAAAAACGTCTCAGTGATATAAAAATCTGGCAACCTCAGTCTTGACGCTTTGGCTCAGCTATAGCAAATTGCTTATAGTTTGAACAACGCATGGTGGGAAATGAACATTGCTCGATTGAGAAGCTTGCTGAAACCATTGTAGTGCGCGATTTGACTCACGTAGAGCTTTGAGTTTCTTGTGAGCGGCCAGTTCAAATTCCTCGTAGCTGATGTGAAATAAAAACGTTAATATCTTCGCTAAGAGTTGGTTTTAGTAACTTTTATTGCGCGAATCGTGTTCTACGTGAAATTTTGGTTTAGAAACATGTATTAGAATGCTAAAATTCGTACCCTGTCTAGTGGTCCATTTCAATGATGAGTCCACTGATTTATTCACAGTCTGAGGATCTTGCAACTACATTAGTTCGATTTAAGTATACATATTCAATTTTTAGTGCACCGAAAAAAAAGGATACACGACGTATTTCATATTATATTGTTTAGAAATTTTGCAGATTTTTCAGAATTCCAACACCCCCGATTCTCGCTATACAACGTTGATTATTTTCTTTGTTTTTTGAGATATTTTACTTGAGCTTCTCCTTAACGATAGCTCCATTTACCCCTACCAGTCCTGATGTTACGCTTCGTTCCAATCTTCAGTTCTCGTTTTCTACTTGGTGCATGTTGCATGGAAGCATATCATTTGCCAAATAAAGTTCACGAGGAAACTTAACGATAGAGGTATTGATTTTATTGCAACAGTTGACCAGGTTTGCCATATTGGTAAACAGAATATTTGACCTGAGCTTGATGGTGTTTTTTCATCATAATTTGCGTTGTGCAGGCGATACGACACTTAAACAGTTAACTTTGCACAACGTGAATTTGTACTGTCAACCTGTTGTGTATGCATGTATAGCGGGTATTTTTATCATCTCAGAAAAATATGAGATGTGATGATAGTAAAGCTACTAGGGGAGGTATTTTGAACGTCTATACCTGAACCTATTCATTTAAAGACGTTTATGACGGTCATTGGAAAGTAGTTTTCTATGATTTTCTGGTCTAGGAAACTTATTAGGCTTAAGATGTTTTATTTATTTATCTATTTATTCATCTATCTATTTATTTTTTTATTTTTCGTTTTCTTAGACACTCTTTCATCCACCGTAACACAGTAAGAACCAACAAGTAACCGACATTTTGTGTTAATATGGGAAGCAGAACACAGAGTAACGATTAGCGTAAGGTTAATATTTTTTGGTCCGTTTTTCTTTGGGTTTAATTGGCCAAATCCTTGTGTTACGTTGACCAAATCGTTGGGTTGAAAAATTGCAACCTCGTCAAAAATCAGGCGCGAGAACCCGCATGGCCTGTCCAAAGGCAAAAAGTCAAAGTTTGTCCTCGGCAAATGCGGAAATTAACTTCCGAAAATAACTTTTAAACTAAAGGGAATATTGCAGCAGCTCGAGACGTTAAAGTATATTGCCTCTGATGAGCAAAGGGGGCACTCATCTTATACACAGATCACAGCTTTTCCCCGATTAGGAGTATTGATTTTGCTTTTGTATGCCATTGAATTTTATTTCGAGCTACTTAAAAAAAAATAGGAAAAAGAAAGGCCGCGAGGGGAACATAAATAACGAAAAATGCGGGTAAAACTTTGTCTCAGAATTTTGTTCGGATGTAACGTGGTTGAAATTCCATCAAGAGCCGAGGAAATTGGAGTAAGTGCTTTTAATAACAAATTAGAGGCAAAGTTGGCCCGCTAAGTAGTTTATGAGCAAACTAAATCTTTTGGAGCAACAAGAATAAATTGCAACAAAAACTTAATCAAAGTCTTGGCGCTTAAATTAAATATTTTCGCCTCGCTAACGTCTAATGATCATTTTTAGCTCCATCGAGTCCGATTCTAAAATTCTCCATTCCCGACGCAGGGTGAAATATTTCATTTTTATCTACTGTATTGTTGATAACAATTCTTCAATTTTTTTGAAAAAGAAAATCAAGTATATTTCAAAACTATGAGATCAACGTCGATAGGATTTTAAGCTATATTATACTGTAAATTTATTTTGGAATTCCCTCGCTAATAAAAAAAGTTTCTTGCGTCGCACTGAGAATGGAAAGATTTGTGGAAAGTTCAGACACTGTTTACATAAGATTACGAACAAACTTCTCTGAAAAATTGGACAAAAATATTTACAAATGTTCCCAAAAATTTGTGATTTGTCCATTGGAATTTGGCAACGCCTGGTGGCTTACGTGGCGTCCTTCTTTCTTTTAGCAAGGCAGTAGTGGATGAAAGCATAAATAGCAGTGCTGACAATTAAAGTAAAGGAGACGACTGAGAGTTTTCTACCGAACGAAATCTTGAAATCCGATTTTTAAACCCCACTCGAAAAAAAACCCTCTCTTGAAAATGTCGACATCGTGGACTAAAGTCTTGTTTCGTGGGGGCGGTCACGAACACAGAGACATCTTGCTCTTTGTCCAGCACGCTAAGAGATAATCCGAGGACAAGATCAGGGCGAGGGGGGTTTTAATGAAACGAAAAACTTGGCTCACTGTTGACTGAGAGATCAGTTTCACTTGTTGCGTAGAGTTGGCACTCATTCAGACTTTGCACGAGGCTAGCAATTTAGCAACAATCTTCTCATATGATCATCCCGCACACCCACGAGTCATGAGATTTCATTGTGGCTTGGGCATTTTCGGATTTTTATTAATAATCAATTCATTCTTCCGACCATCCGAGTAACGAATATTGATAAATTACTTCATCGTCAATAACATTTAAACCTTCGATTTGATCGTAAGAATCAGGAATATAGGTGAATAGTGATCAAGAGGTGGGGGTGTATACTTCAGGGTTGCCATAATTTCTTTAATTTCAAATTTCCTGCTTTCCCTGATATTCGTTTGACTATTTTTGCTTTTCCCTGACTCCGAAATTTTCTAATTCCCAGATTTTCCCTGCAATTCGAATAAAACTTCCACGGGTTTTTCCTCTGAAAATATGCTATTTTCCCCTAAACTTTGGCCAAAAGTTCCTTGTTTAAAGATGTCTCCTTGTTTGAAACGGTAGATGAAGATATTCAGTGGCAGTTTGAATGATTATATGACAAGCCTTAAAATGACTTGAGGGGGGTAAATAGATGGAAGATCAGGGATGTTTTATAGTAATTAGTAGATGTATCAGAAATTCCCTGACTTTTTTCACATATTCCTTGACCTTTCCTGGTCGCCACAAATTCCCTGACTTTTCCTAATTTTTCCAGTTTTCTAGACTACCAGCAACCTTAGTACTTTTAATGGCGAATCCAATGAGATGAAAATATACATTTCAATTAAAAAGTCACGTTGAAAAAAAGGTCTGAGGACGAGGTGAAATTCTAAAGTCTTGCTTAAAAATGCAATCAAACTAAACAACACGGTGGAAGTAAAAAAGAGAAGTAACATGAGGGGATGCAGCCATTCTCAGAAAGTGAAGATGAAAATTGTTGCGAGAGTATGCAGAGTGGAGGCAGAGGGGGGCATGCTGGGGAGCTACTGTACACAGCCAGAGAGGCAGATTGAAAAATTCCTGTCAATTCATTACCCGTTTGGATTTTCAAGCGATCAATTTTATGCTCAGGATTTCAGCGAAATTGCATCTTATTTCAGTTATTATTGAAAGCGATCGAATAAGACAAGACGGTTTAATACACTGCAGGACGAATACAAATTGGTGAGATTCCTGTTTAGCAGACTGTCACTTTTTTACGACGAGGTACTCATTTCTACGCCTCAATTTTACAACATGCTTTTGTAGAATAATTGTTCTTTTCATGAACAGATGAAGGTGATACCAATGAAACATTGCAAGGATATGTCTTTGGCTTTGCGAGAATTAGTTACGTTTCATCGATCAAAAGTATAACAACAAATCATTTTGTGCATGATACTGAGGCTAAACTCTAAAATCATGTATCTCAGGTTGTGACATAACAAACATCCATCCTATTCAATTATATTTTCCATGATAAACTTATTGATACATTTTTTGGGAAACTTTCTAGATAATGCTTCCTTCTGTGGATAAAATGCTGAGATTTTCTAGGTTCTTTGGTTTTTTTTTTTACTTTTTAAAAGAAGAAGGAGGGACAGAAAATTTGAGATACGTGTATTCTGAGTTTGGATATGGTGCAAACCTGTTTAACAATCTTGAGAGATTGTAACTGAAGAGTAAATCATTAACTATTGGATTGTGTTACAGTTATAATACTTAGGAATGGCTTTTGCAATTTAAAACAGAGAAGGTAGGTTATTGTTTTGCTGATAAATTGCCTCGAATGGGATTGCAGAAATTAAAATAAAATCCATGTCTTCTTTGGAAATCTACTGTACTGGATGGTATACAATTAATAAATGCTGCATCCGAGTACATTTGAAAATGTCTGCGTTCAAAATACTTCAAATTGTCCTGCAAAATCCAGGCATATGGGAAAGAATTGAATGGAACTCGTGCTGAAAATTGATTGAAAACAGAGACGGGTCCAGAAAATTGGCAACACTGTTTTCTATCCATTTAAGCCTATGATAGAGAATCGATTTTTGGGAAGACTGTCCTGACACAATCGATTTTTTACCGTAAGTTTAAATGGAGAGGAAACAGGGTTGCTAACTGTTTGGATCCACCTCTGATTGGAAACAAGGCTACAAACAACTACGAAATTCTGGGGATTTTCGCGTCTAACGGGCATGGGTTTATCTACAATTCTACAACGTCTCAAAGGCATCTACGATTGAAGGCGTCTACAAAATACTCTAGAAAAGAAACTAAGAGATGGACGAATTGACACAAACCTTGAGCACCTGCGCACGGACGGGTGGACAGAGAGAAAGAGAGAAAAGAAAAGAGACAAAACATAGATTAATACGAGGATTCGGAAACATAGAACATCAGCATACATTATGTTAAATAATGAATATGCAACTTATATTAGCTGTATCGCCTAGATCAAATTGTTCAAAGACGCAAGTGCGAATTTCCGTTCTTTGCCTCGTGTAGAAAATATAACGTAAAAATGAACCCTTCCAGAGAGAGAATAGACGTTGCTAACAAAATTTAAAGTACCTTGAGTGGGGAAATAATGACAAATCATTTGAAAAAGGGCATAGAACCAGAAGAGCAGCCAACTTTCTTAAAGGTACTTCTCGAAAACGAAAGGAAAGTAATACGAATAATGGATCGCATTTCAGATGTATTTTTTTAGTATCTTGTGAACAAATCTTGATTCTCATGGGAAACGTGAAATAACTGATGATTAGATTAGGTCCGTGTAAAACTAAAGGTTGGCTGCCCTTTTGGACTCTATCTAATTCGGTGAGGCATTATTGGCGAGGGCTTGATGATCATCACACATTTTTGTACTCTCCCAATGAGGAGTTTTTTCTTTCACACATTTGTAATTCGGTTATTTTTAACGATTAGTTTTTTTAGTGGGTCATTTTTGTATCATGATCTTTGAGGCTTCACAGGGACATATTTCCACGCTCTGAGATCTACTTCAGGGTTCAGTATAATCATTCTCAAATAATGATAGCTAATGAAAGACGTGGTGTGCAAGTAGGTACTGATTTGACACACAAGACGGGTTGACAAAATTGTTGTGCAAATCGCTCAACGTTAGATGGTTAAACTGCGAAACCTGCGTATTTTTCAAGTGAATATGAGTCTTGCAGCAAGATAGAAATTACTACATCCCCCTGTTGCGTTTTGGTTATCCTTCTGTACTGAGCGCACTGAGCGCAAAACTAGAGTGGAATCTCTTGAATCCTACATTAGCTCTTACCTAGTTTACTCTTATTATATTATTCTACCCTTAAGCGTATCGGTCACAGAGGCATGAAGCCAATAAACAAATTAATCTGTGTACAACACACACATCTCATAATTTAGCGCGTGCATCTCACCTCTACATATCTACGGTGAAACTACCAAACCACGTATCTCGGTTTGCGACGTCGCAGACTTCCTGTCATATTTTATTTTTTAAATGAAAAACTACTTAACGTCCAGTCTTGAAAATTTCTGTGATTTTTCCTCTTCGTGCGGAAAAAATTCTGTGAAAATTTCAAGGAATGATATTGATTTGGTCTACTTCAAAAAAATAAAATGTGAGCGTAGATTTTTAAACACCGCAAACGAGATACGTGGTTTGGTAGTTTCACCGTCGATATGCTGTTAGGAGCAATTTTCTCAACGACCGAATATCTTGACAATGGAATTATGCATTCGTAACGGATTTTTTACGTTTCAACGATCACAGTTATCTCTTCACATTTCACTCTAATAATTTGGCTCTCTGGTCTAAAAGTTACTCGAGCCCGTAAAATTTCAAGGAATCCAGAATATGAAGAAAACAATCATCAGGTTTAATCTATCCTAATAGTTATTGTATTTTATTGTATAGTATGATATTATTTTCGACAGAATGCAATCTTATATTCATTATTTTTAGGCGTCTTCCTGTTTAATGATTGACTAATAAACTTCGATAATTACGTTCATTGATACGTTAATCAAGACTTCAAACAATTAAATCTAGCGAGTGTGATTAGGTTTGTATTTTGAATCACATTGAGCTGCACACTGCGCAGTCAATGACACTGATGAATTAAAACTCAACCGGCAATATAAGTTCATATTCGTTTCTTGTTTTGATGTGACAACTGCTGGTTAAAATATGAGAAATCACACTTAAAGCGATTTGAAAGTGCTCTGAAGACAAATACTTATTTTGACATTGCTAGAGTGATCCAAAAATTAATAATAATAAGACAATTAATACTTAAAAATTAATGCATATTTTACGTGATAAAGTTTCAAACTATAGCTTCGCTGGTACGTTTTATTATATTTCTTATATGTATTGATTTAACTCTATATGGAAGAGATTCCGATTTGATTCAGAAATTATAAAATAAATTTCAATAAACTTCCTTTCTACCAATGGTTCTTTACTGATCGAAAAGGAAGTCTGAGTATTTTATTGAACATAATTATGCCGAAAAAAATAATTGCGTTTAATTTTAAAATAATGTTAGAAGTCTCACAAATTGCATTACTCGACGATTGGAATTGATGTCCTGGCATGCCTCTCTACTTGGGTTTACACAATTCTACTCATGGAGACGATAAACGTTCAGGTTAGGGTCAATGCACTGATGATATTTTCATTGTATCAGGTGGAGATTTTCAACAAATATACAGTTGGAAAACGGGTTTTGATGCAGGACACATGTGTTACAGTATACAGGTTGGACTGAGTTTTGTTGCACACACATATGATACAACAGCGTTCAATGTTAAAACATAAGGATGTGGTATCGAGCTGTAAAGCCGCAGCGTTTCTTTAGTTAAAAATTCTGCGCCCTAGACTTTCCTAGGAAAAGGACCATTCTCTGTCCCTTTTTGAGGAATTCAGGAATTTAATCAACATGATACTAAAATGGATAGGATTTAGCAAAAAGGAACCAGCGCAATTACATCGCTGTCATAATATTGCTTTTTATAATTATCTATAAAGTCTCCCAAGATAACAAATAGTTTTTGTATTCCACCAAAAAATGGTAATTTTAGCGGGAAATAATGGTGCGAATTCTAATACTGGACATATAAATTCAGTATTTGTTAAAAGAAAAAAAAGAATTTGCACGATTTTAAAAACACTGTAATCACGCTGGTTCCACTATGCTGAATGCAACCCAAATGACACCTTATGATGACACAAAGCCTTAGGTACAAGTTTAGCTTGTATCTAAAACTTAATTAAGATAATCTGAATTGCGTGAGCTCATCTAGGAACTATCACTTGTTCATAACCACATAAATCATAGAAATCGGCCGCGCAGAACGGTGACAAAAAATTAAAATTTGAGAGCACATAGTATTATGTTGGATATTTGAACTGCATTTCATAATTGGGTACTACAATTTCTGGCTTAGTTCAGAATCAACGTATATACCATTAAATTCCCTGTGCACATATGCGTTTTTACGAATAAATTAGAAATTGCAGTTCCCAATTGTAAAATAAAGTCCGTTTTTGATACGTTCGACGTGTTTTGAGTGAAATTTCGATGAGGAGGCATGTATTGCAGGCTGATGAACATTCTCCAGGATAAGAATAAGAATAGTCTATTTAAGGGGCTTGGAAGACAAGGTAAAATGCAATCTTTGAAAAAATTTAGATATCAATGATATCAAGTGAAGCTAGTCTTAATACATACTCTGTGAACAACTCGTGTCCAAATTCCAATTTTTAAGCATCAAAAAGTCAGTTTGAAATTTCTTTCCGCCATAAGGATCCATGCAATTTCGAAACTTCAAAATCGTATTCCTCGATATAGCAAAAGGTACGCGCAAAGGTTATGCGCTTTGTCCTCCAAGCCCCTCATTTGACTGATAGCTGACCAATGAAAATAGAGAAAGCGATAGATACGGAGGAAAAAGGGGAATGGAGCGAGCCTATTGGTGAAAGCGCGGGTGGTTACGATGGACAAAGGATGTGAGTGATATTCTAACTAACGGCAACTCACAAGAGACCCTATAGTTAGGACATCATTTTCCCCCTTACTCTATGACAGCACCCGTTTCAACCAATAGGACCGTTTCATTTTGTGTCCTTCGTCTATCGCTTCGTCTGTCAGTTTCAATAATCAGCCTGCTATGGAGTTTAATTCCTTACCCTGTCTATTGGTCCATTACCTCTACTTATGCGATACGGCAAGAGTATAATATAACTGATTTAGAAAAAAGTAAACGCACTCCATTAAGACAGCATGAGAGTTCTTCGCCAACGTTTAGCACGGTGTTTTTTCCTTCTTCTTTTTTTCCCCGGTGCTTGTATAAATTGTGAAGTAGGTTTATTGATTCTGTAAGCCGTGGCGCGGGGAAACGTGCCGTTGAGTGGGGAGTGGGGGTGGGCGGCAGGGGGGCTCGGGACGTGGCCGGCGAAATTAATGTCACCACGCAATGAGCTTGTAAATATTCATGTGTCTGTGTGTCGCGTGTTGCATCTTGACTGGTTCAGGAGTCAATTACCGGCGACACGACATTCAGGTCTGGCGTGTTGCGGGTGGCGGAACGCCGCGGCGCTCAATCAAGGGCCTATCGAAAATTCATGAGCTACTGCCGACGTCACTTCGCGGAGGGTTCCAGGGTTCCGGCGTGACGTCATTTATCGGAACCGATCGAGTCGCGAGTCGAAAGCCTTGGTCGTGCGTCCCATATACTCGCACATGTATCAAGGTCACGCAGTTTCTACGACGGAACTCAGATATGGTTGGCTACACAATCGCGTGTTTTTTTTTTTAATTAATTTATTTTTTATTATTATTTTTGAGGATACTCTACAGAAGCACTGCAATCCTAAATGAATTTAGAGTTCGTCTCAATGGATCATTGATGCGGCTCACAGTGGATCGAGTTAATGGGAGAGGTCGGACAAATTTTGGAAACTTTAAAAGATTATTACTCCGTTTATACAAAACTTTGAGGTTTTAGAAGGGGTTTCATTGGTCTTCTTATGAAATTTATATCTAGATGCAACCCTTAGCATTTAAAATGTAACGAAATAAACATGAAAAGCAATTTTAGTCAAAAATTTCATGTCCAACCTCTCTGGTTGGCTCGATCCATCATGCGGCTGTTGAATGTCGCCAATCAAAATTTGGAGGGGCTTCTATTTTTTGATATCACCTCTTGTCAATTTTACTTTTCCTCAATTTGCAGTAAGCAAGCGCGATAACACACAAATACAAAATCAGCTGATTGTGTGCTGATATTTCTTAATTTACGACCTGCACTAAAAGAAATATCTGTATAATGATCATATACTTTTTGGCTATTCATATCAGCTCAATTTAGGTGCTACTTTGATAGATATCGCCAGTCACTTCAATAATAGGAAATTGTCTTGTCCGGATAAGAGGCGGGAGAAAATCAGTGAAATATGACAAAATCATGAAAAAACGGTTACCAGGAGTAAGGAATAGGCAAGCACTGGTGCATCAACATTTTACGGCCCACTAAAAGAGAAGCTACATGACCTTGATATATTATTGATGAGTCTATCGATCGTGTGACCAAGGCTGTAGTCGCTGCTGGGGGTGAGGGGGGTGTCCATTTTAGTGTTCCGGGTACAGGTACATGAAGAAGGGTAAGGGTAGGAAACAACGGAAAAAGTTCCTTGTACATTACTTCAACATCCCCACTTTCGTTGATGAGCTCAACCGTTCAACATCTCTATTTCCCGTTATTTCTTTTTAATGACGCTTCGAAAAAATACTGAGCCCTGCGTGAAGCAAGGTTGCCTGGTTGTACGATAATATGGGCCGTTCAAGCATTACGTAACGCAATTAGGGAGAAGGGGGTTTGAGCCAGAGTTACGGTGCGTTATAAAAATCCCGCCATTCCTGGATGAATCTTTTTGGCGCGTGACCCAGCCGACGCACAGGGAGCGAGTCAATAGAAGAAGTCGGACAAAATTTATAAACTTTAAACGCTTATAACTCCGTTTGAGGACTTGAGGTTCTAAAAGTGGTATCGTTGGTTTCCTCGTGAAATTTCCCTCCATCAGCAACCCTTGAACCTCAAAATGTGACGAAATAAACATCGAAATTTGCAGTTCCAGTCAAAAATTCCATGTCCGACCTCTCTAATTGACTCGATCTACTGTGCGACGCACGCAATGGCTTACTTATTCAAAATTTTCCAAATGCACTTTTCCAGTAAAGTTATGAATAAAACAAATATAATCATGTATTTTTACACTCTGTTGTTCTCTTCCTAGCATATTTTAGCGAAATTTCTCAAAAAAAAAAAAAAAAAAAAAAAAAAGTCAAACGAGTAAAGGGAACTTTTTTCTCTTCCTAGCATATTTTAGCGAATTTCTCAAAAAAAAAAAAAAAAAAAAAAAAAAAAAAAAAAAAAAAAAATCCCAAAATTTTTCAAGCTTTTTTCTCGGCTTCTTTCTCGATTTTTATAAAATGGGGGGCGGGTGTAAGGCCCGTGTTCCGTAATTAAAGAAAGGGGTGTAAGGCTACGTTACAAGGGTGCAGGGGAGTCCAAAAATTGGAAAATATGTGTTACGTACTAATAGAACGGCCCCATATTAGGATATTTGGACCGCGTTAAACAGCAAGGAACCAAGCCACATCAGCTATTGCCAAATTTAATTGGAATATTTCATTTTTTGCATGAAAACGGTTGCGTAGATTCTCTTGGAAACAGTGACTTTTCTCCGTAGCATGGAGCTAATTCCTTAAAATGGTCAAAGGAATTCGCACAAACGTTTTCTCGTAGAAAATTAAATTGCCCAGTTTAATTTCGCAATAGCTGATGTGACTTAGTTCCTTTCTGTTGAACACGGTCCATTTTACAAAGGTTTAAATTAGAGAAAAATGTCAATTTTCCAGCGACATCTGACAAGAATGACGTGATCCGACAACGGCGCAAGAAAGAAGGTTTTCACTCACTTCTGGCCCATAAATACGCGCTAATTATTCACCGTGGCACCGCGCTTAAAAGAGAACTGCTCCGGTTTCAGACACTCTCGCATAAAATATGAAAATACGAGTATTTCATTTTCTCCTCGGCTCGGATCTCCGGGGAAAGTGGAGGGGGTGGGAGTGGGGGCTAGTTTATAGGATACGCCAACTTCGCCAACAACACACTTGCCCGCTTTTTCAGTCTCGGATATCATGTTCGGGGCGATGAACCCTTGCAAACTGGCAACGCTGTTTTCCCTCAATTTGAATTCGTGATAAATAATCGATTTCAAGTGATGCTGCCAGGAGAGTATAGACATAGCCGTGATTTTGCAGGTTAGGTTGGATTTGATCATGGAGCTGTTAGGGCTCAGTAGGGCGGCCAACATATGTACTTAAATTATTCAGAACTACTTATTATTGTTGCGAGGGTAACTTCACTGATTAGAGGATTATTAAAGCAAGTATTACACCTTTTTTTCTAGCAGAAATTTCCTCAGTTTTGCAAAGAGATGCTCATTTATAAACTTTGGCCTTTGCCTTTTGCCCATGAAGAATGTGCTCAGATTTTTTCGATGATGTGCTCATCGAGATTTTGAGCCATTTTTTATAAGAATCAATTCTTCTTAACAACTCATTGCGGGAGTAGTCTTTGGCCATTGCTAAGTAAGTCCGGAATAGTCCACCTAGAGTGGAAAGAAAAATTGATGAAGAGTGAGAGAAAACCGCGGGGGAGAGGGTGATTCTGATAAAATATTAAGAAAAACACGGAGGATGAATTCTGAACGAAGCCTGGTAAGAAGTTTTAATTGTAAAACTTTCAACTTTAGCCGCAAGCTTTCTTCTCGGGGCAAGAATAATCAGGTTGTTTGTCGAGCCTCCGACGTATTTTAATCAATGAACATGAAACAAAGCACAATCGGCAAAGATCCGCAACGCGGACACACCAAAAAGAATTAACAAAGGCTGAAATATCTTGGGGGATGAAAGTCTGATTTAGAAGAATCAAACGGAAACCTCAATCAATACCCGTGGTGTAGAGGTATACATTGAATTATTTAGATTAGTTTTTACCTTTACATAAAGCAATCTTATGACCATTTCCGAGAAAACAGCCATCAAGGCGTATGCACTTTGAATTCGACCTCAAATGACAAACATTGGAAAAAACACACAAAATTTGAAGTTTCCTCGTGTTTTGGTTCTCAATTTTCGGAATGATTTGGACCATAGTAAAAATGTAGCAAAGTTGTACCCCAATTTCAATCCACATAAATTATTCGGGTCATCATTTCAACTGCTTTTATCATTACAAGCTTATTTTAGACTTATAACAGACCTAGATTCGAGGTTGTTTTGAATGTCCAAACCATCCAACAATTTTAATTCGTGTTCAACTTTTTACTCGTGTTGAAATAATTGGACAAAATAATGACAAACGAAAGCACACTTAAATTGGTCCAAGTTGAACAACACGTAATTTTAGGACGAAACCATTCAAAGCTTTCAAGATAAACAGCAAACAGTGAGGATAGTTACATATAGTATTATGGAAACAAGGACATAACTTACATCGGACACTCATGATTGGTTTTTGTCAATAATATAATGCCTCATTTATCAAACCAAACCTATTAAAATGTTTCTCTTCCAGAATAGATATTCGACCATTCATCCAGACGTGGTGTTTGTGATTATTGCGATACATGAAAGATGTAACGGCTCGTTGATCGGACCGTATTAAATTTATCAACACCTGTTACCAATTACCTTTATTTACCCATGACGTCGGTAAGAGTAACTTATCAATCATGAATAAATTGAGAATTTTCCTTTCGTCTTCCATAAGATTTAATTGAATCCTTATCGCTCAAACCAAAGCCGATGGATTCAAGCCAGCCCACCAGAGTTGGGCGGGTGGTCCAATAGTTGGAAACTTTCCTCGATTTTGTATTCTGATTTCAGTAATGTCAACGACAGTGAACTGTTTACTAGATGAGCAGTGGAGGCAAAGAAATTTTTTTCTTCTTAAATTGGACGTAATAACCTCCATTCGAAAAATTGTATTGAAATAATCCTCTGCTCTGTCTAGTAAAATTGTTGTTCTGTTCTGAAAAGGGACTTGGGTGCGAAAACCCACTTGTCCGTTGGTGTCCCACCAAAAATCAGTTCTGATCATGCTGAAGGGCTGAGTTGAGTCTATCGATCTTGGTTCAAAGTCTATCGCGCGGTACTCTACTGCAACCGACTGCGAAACCGGATTATCTAAAAACCGGATTGAAGACCTTAAGTTGACTCGACAGTGATCCTGAAAAGAAAGAGTTGGTTAGTAAAAGAATACGGTTAATGGGTGGAGGAACGGGAGCAAGCGCGAGAGGAATAAAGCTCATACTTACAAGTTCTGACACAAGAGGAATGGATTTCCGACGGATAACCCGGATGTCTGGCATGCTGTCGATGTTGCTGTAGAACGGATTGTCTCCCGGGTGTCTGAAACAAAAAACAAAAAATTCAAAAACATTAGCCGCGTTACTAATAAGGGGTCAATTTGACCCGGCTTGGGAAATCTAAGGGTATAGCCATCCAAAAAAAAAAGAAAAAAAAAACTCCTGACAAGACACAACTATCGAAAAAATATATTATGAGACGTGTCCCTTTGGTGCGCTTGAGAGACCTCAAAACATTTTTTAACCTTTTTTTTCTTCAAAATTATTATTGATTTTGACGTATCATAACATATTTTGAGCAAACTTAACCTTAAATTTTCTCAAATTTCAAAAATATGGGGTACCTCAACGCGCGAGAATGACAGGGCAGAGATAGAACTATTCGCGCTTAATGGATGTCCGTGTTGCATAAGCAAAATTGAAGGCGTGATCGCATGAGGCGTGAACTCGCAATGCTCCGCTCTAAGCTGTCAGCGAGGCGGCGCTCGGATTCGGGAGAAAAGTTTTTTTTTTAAAAAAAACGAGGCCCGATTAAGTCTTTTCTATCTTCGGCTGTATTACTCAAGTAGCCCTTTAAGTACCACTACCAATAAGACAAATGGACACAAACAAGATGTACAGATAGAACAAGGATAGGACGCGCGTTGATGACGGCGCAGAGATACAACTATTCGTGCTTGATGGATGCCCATATTGCGTCTGCGGAATTGAAGGCGCGATGATGCGCAGCGTGCTCTCAATGCTCCGCTCTATTCTGCTGGCGAGGTGTCCCTTACATTCCGGAGAAAAGTTTAAAAAATGAACCCCGAATACGTCTCTTTAGCATTGGTTGTGTTGACAGTAGATGTTATTTTTCTTAATCTTTCAATTTGATGTTTGATTTTTCCCCCGATGCTCTTGTAGACTTGTATCTATAATTTGTATGTGCTGATCTCTTAAAACCTGCGAGGCGCGTGTTTACACTAAGCTTTGGGACGATTGACCCAGTTTAGGCATTTAAGAGTTAAGTACGCTACAAATTTCATATTTTTTCCCCATAAAAATCCGTTTTATTGCAACCATTTAGATTTCGATGATTTTTACGTTATTGAGCGTTCAGTTGCTTTTTCAACCCGCCAACGGTGTACTTAGTACTACAGCGATTCAGTATAGCCCAGCAACTTCGGTGTAAATGTGCCGCAAAATTTGAGAGTAGATTAACCTATTGCATGATTTTTTATGGTTTTTGTGGCAGACAATAGAGAGCATGAAGAATTTTCAGAAATCAATTGCACTAAGTATAGTGTAACTTTCTCTGGTTTGATCGTATGCGCGAATTTTTCCATCCGAGTATCCTCGCCGCTTTCCGTTCTACATGCAGCTTTTGTAAAAACTCGCCTACTTTGATGTTACAAACACTTGCGTTTGCTTTGTGGTGAAGAACGTGTGCACTCACTTGAAAATATCCATTAGTCGATTACTTTCATCTCTTCCTCCTGAAACCTTGCCGATTAAAAAAAAGTAAATCAAATAATACAATTTTTACTTTAAAAACTCCTGACTGCCGAGGGCTTCTCTAATACGTGCACTTCAGAGCTTTTTGATTTTTCTTGTATTTAATAGAAAAAATGGGTTTTTTTGAAAAATGAATATTTGCTTAATGTATGTTGTTTGCAGGTCCATTTACATATTTTAAAAACAGAGCTAAATTGATTTTAAAAAAAAAATGCTCGAAACGGACTTGAACCCGTGGAAAGACGCGCAAAACCATTGTTTTTCGGAGGTGAAGGGAGTGCGCACCCCCCAAAAAATACTCGGATCCCGTTCAAATTTTGCCCAAGTCAACTTTGGCATTTTTTCTTCTGGATTTTTTACCGGGAGCCGATATTCCAAAGACACAAAGTGTGGTAAAATTGTCCGAAAAAGAGAATACGAATAATCACAATTTTTGTGTAAAACGGGATTGATCCGAAATGTTTCAAATGAAGAAATAGGAGCATGTACCTGCGCAAGTACATCAAAACCACATACGTTTCATCGAAAATAAGCTGGAAATATTCGGTTATTTATTGCAAAATGCAGTTCAAGTATGTAGATCGCAAATCCAAGGGGCATACGAGAGCCCCATTGAAAAAAGTCTCCACAGTGTTCTGCATCTCTCGTGCGCAACGGACCCATTTCATTCGCGAAGGAGACCTTCGCCAGAGAAAAACGCGATTGCTCATTTGGAACAAATTCACGCCTCTTGCGAACAGCATCGGAGTCGAGAGCAGCTCTGCCGCGCTACGGAAAAACGCCCTATGAACCTTCAGGCGTTGCCAAATTTCCTTTGATAAAACGCAAATTTCTTTGGATAAAACGCAAATTTCCTGGTAAATTTATGAATATTTTCCTCCCAACTTTTCAAATAATTTAGTTCGGAATTTTACCTAAAGATTCTAAAAATATAAAGGAAAAATATTTATAACTAACTAACAAGTCGCTCTTACAGCGCTTCTGTGCGCTCTGCGACACCCAATCGCCACTGATAGCGATCCTGCCAGAGCTCCTCCAGCAGATCGCATCTCCTTATTTCCTGCCTTATTCCCTCAATCCACGATATGGCAAAAAATCATATATTAAATAAGTATTATACAATAAATAAATATAATACGATAAATTATTTGGAAAAATATTTATAACTTTCCTGAAAAATAAACATTTTATCGAAGGAAACTTGGCAACTCTCAAATGTTCATACGGCGTTTTCCCTGAGCACGGCAGAGCTCCTCGGTCTCAATTCGTCACCCCTCTGACACAAGCTCGTATTCGAATTACCACGTGAGCCCTGTTTTACGTATAATTTCATGCTTCTTGGGGCTCATACGGGACTCAAGATGCGCGGTTACACCGGAGGAGCATCGAATTTACGGCGTAAGGTAAGATGGCAAAAACCTCTGCATGCTGTATCTCGTTCCCGATTCCAAACAAATATCCCGTTCCGGTTCGAAGACCCCGTTTCATAAAGATGTCGAAATAATGAAGAACAGAGAGCGTTCGGGAGCGTGATTGCATACACAGTGGAAATTCGCGCCGATAGAGCACGCCTTGCCGTGTTCCAATTCGTCGAGTGCGAAATATTTCGCGACTAAGTTTATTCGTTCGACTAAGTTCAAGCGGGAACAACGTAACGATCACCCAAGCGATATGAAATTGAGATTTAAATCTTGTGCGGAGATAAACGGGGAGTTTTGGCAGTTTTGCTATCCAAAGATCGTCATTAGAGTACCTTAATAGACAGAGTATGGACATTCGTACCTTTTTACTACACGAAAACTGTGCTGCTTTTTGCTTGGTCAACGAATTTTTAGGCTTCACGATGCTCTTACGGCCGTAAATAAACAAACAAGATGGCGGCTCACCGTAATATCGATAAGAAGCTAAAATTTGACAAAAATTTCAATTATACGGCAGTAAAAATTTCAACTAGCATATCTACGCATAACACATGAAAAACACGTGAAAACACTGTTAAATCGCCTTCCGCCTTTATCACCGGAGGATAAAAGATGTGCATAACCTCAAACTTGCTCGCTGATAACAGCCATCTTGTTCTTTATTTACGGCCGTAAGAGCATCGTGTGTGCCTATTTTCTCGCGACCGATGAAAAACCGGCACAGAAATGGCCATACTCTGTCTGTAAAGGTACTCTTAATCGTCACCCCCCCCCCCCCCGGGGCGAAGTATCGCAAACGCCATGCGACGTTTCAAAATTTCCACCGCCATTTTATTATTAATTTTTACAGAAATTGTTGGTTGAATCTGTTAAAAAATTTCACTGATTTTTATCGGCAGCACAAAAGAAAATTAGTGGAATTTTCGGACAGCTTTATTGAACAATTTCTCTGTAAAAAAATAAAATGGCGGCGGAAATTTTTAACCATCGCATGGCTCTTATGATACATTGGCCGGAAGGTGACGAGATGTAGATTTTGCAGTGGCGTGGCGTGAATTGCGATGTATCGATTATTCTGCCATTTAAACCTATGGTGAAGAATCGATTATTAAGGTGTTCGCTGCGAACACCCTGTTTATCGATCCTTTTCCATAGGTTTAAATGGCATGACAATCGATATATCGCAAAGCACGCCACGCCACTGAGATTTTGCCATACTTTTTGCACTTGATAACTCTCACCTTTATAAGGACAGTAAGGCTATGAGTTCTGTTCATCATACAGGTGAAAAACCAACTTCTCGATTAAAATTAAATTATTATTTAAATTTAAAATTATTAGTTATATTTTAACTTGAAATTTTAAGAAAAATAATGCCCAATAGATTGTAGACGTAAAGGATCTTAATATTTCGAACTTGACAGATCTAGTTCTACAATATCAAATACAAAAGATTATTAGAAAAAGAAATAAAAACAAATGTGTATATAAAAGGAGTTGGATAAAATTGTTATGCTTTGCTGATGACCAAGTACTTATCGCCTAAGATCAGGATGATGCTGAGTACATGACTCGAAAGTTGGTGGCTCAGTATCGGAAATGGGGCCTCGAGGTGAATGTCAGCAAAACCGAGAAGTTGACCGTTGGCGGGAATCAGCAAAGTATAGAATTAGAGGATGGGCGGCAAATTGGAAGCTGCGATATTTACAAATATTTAGGAGTGTTTTTAACCCAGGATGGAAGATTGGACCAGGCCGTCAAGAAGAGGAATATGCTGGGTAGGAGGTCAATCGCTGTGTTAAATGGAGTCCTTTGGGACCAAAGGATCTCCAAGGAGAACAAAAGAAGGATCTACAACGCGATTGTCAAGAGCATAGTAACCTACGGGTGTGAAGTATGGTATTTCCAGAAAGGATCACGTTAGGAATGAGACGGTACGGGAGATCATGGATGTCAAGCAGACCATCGTGCATGACATTATGACAAAACAACTCATTTGGTATGGTCATGTCCAGAGAATGGCAGGAGACAGGTTGCCGAATAAGAAGGTCCTTGACTGGGTTCCTCCTGGGAGAAGACGCAGAGGGCGCCCAATGAAAGGTTGGAGGGAAGGGGTTGAAGCGGAAAT